TAAACGGTTAAAGCGAGCACGTTTTTCGACTAATCAGGAAGATTAGGTTTGTCGATCACACTCGGTCTTCTCGAGGAAGATTGACCATCGTTCTCTGCCTGAACACCAAACTGGTAAAGCTGATGACACCGCCCAATACATCTCGTACTCAAAGGAAGAATTTGCATGAATACATGCGGCGTCACCCTACGCCCCTAGATGACACTGAACATTGAATGTTTCTTCGTCTTTTTTCGTGTATATATACTGACCACCTCCGGGTCCTAAATGAGCATAAGACATCCAATACGCCAACTAATCATCACAAAAATACATATATACGTTTGTAATCCATACATTTCTTCAATAAGAAATCCAGAGAAACCTTTTCTTTGTCGATCACCACAGTCGATCATCAAACATATGACAAAAATACATGTAGATGTTGTAATCCATACAATTCTTCATTTTTGTCCCATTAAATTTTTCCTAATAAGGTTTTGACGAGACATATCCATGGTATAATGAGGACTACAAGATAAATGATATGATTCGTCACGATGATAAGAAGCCATTGGAGTAGATGTACTCTTTTTTCTTCGATCAAGTTTGTTACACGGGATTTTATTGACAAGTTTAATGAGGCAACACATTGATACTACATCAAGGATGATCTGCATGAGGCAACACATGGATACTACATCAATGATGTCCTACTTGAGAGGAAGGATGTTATGCTTCCACAATACTGAGGTTTTGTCCCTCCCGTTTTTCTTGAGATGTTGAATTGACAGTTATTTATGGTCACGAGCTATACTTCAAGATGTTCAAATTGAGTATTATTCCAATTGATTTAAATATGTTAAGGAAATAGTCATTCAAGGGGAGTGTTATATAATATATTAGCCAATTGTATTACTTATGCAGGGTATGAATAACTATTTTCTCCAATATGTAATTATATATTTACGATTGTGCAATTAGAAACTTTCTTATAAATAAAAGCTTTTTTTTTTTTTGCCGGAACGATAGAGGATCTATTAAAAACCAAGAGCACAAATGTGCGAATCAAAATACAAAGCTCCCAACGGGAGAATAAAAAGCAACCAAAAGCTGAATAAAATGGGAGGACAAGTCTGACGACCGCCTAGAATCCCGACGCTAGCAACGCTATAAACTAAAACAAGACTTATTAGACAACTAACACAACAAAACACAAGGAAAAACTAAACAAGCTCCCAACAGGAGAATAGAGCCGGGAGCTGCTCCCAACAGGAGAATCGAGGTGCTCCCGCTCAGGCTTACAGAGGCCAACGGCCCAAACAAAAAACACAGATCCTAAACAAAACAGGTACAACCACAGAAAACAACTAAAACACGGAAACCAAAAATCAACTAAAAGGCCCTTCCTCAGTAGAAAGATCGAGTCCAACCAGCAAGAGAGCAATCTATATCAGGGAGAGATCCACAGGCCCAGTACCCGCAACCTACACTGCCT